AGAAATAAATTAAATTACTTTACTGCCTCAATATAAAAATCCAAGCTACTTACCCGTCTGGATTGGAGAGTTGAAATGGTTGCGATGCAAAACCGGATGCCGTCACAACTTCGCTTCTCACAATTTAAGATTTTATGGACACTGATGATCCAGGCACCTATAACGCACACTCACAAGATCTGATGATCTAAATTTTCTCGATCACAAGGCTGATCACCCACATATCACTTTTTCAATACTCTACACATCACAATGATCTGATGATCTTCGGACAATGATTGTCCCACACGCTCACTGCGGTAAATTTTCTCGAACACAAAGATGATCGCACAAGTAACACCTTTATCACCGCGCTTAAAGATGAGCTTATTTCAGGAGACTGTCATTCCTCTTTTTCTGGACTAATGTCCGTAACTTCTTCGCGGATTCTATTCCCCACTTCGAAGAGCTGTAAATCCCTTTTCGAACGGATGTTCGTAAATTCGTGCTGCACTTCAGAGCCTGGTGGTCTGTACTATCTGCAAACACTTGATGATGTTCGGACAATGGCTGTCCTACAAACTCGAGATGAATTTCAGACTCAGACGGTCTGCAATCTCTGCATGGATTTTCTTATCTCCCCGCTTCGGAGACTGTAATCACTTTTTTCGAAATGATGTTCGTAACTTTTTCGTGTTGCACTTCAGAACCTGACGGTCTGTAATATCTGCAAAACACTGTTGATATTCGGACGATGACTGTCCCACAATCTTGAGATGAATTTTTAGAGCCTGACGGTCTGTAATTTCTGCATCGATTTTCTGATCTCGTCGCTTCGAAGAGCTGTAATCACTTTTTCGAACTGATGTTCGTAACTTTTCGTGCTGCACTTCAGAACCTGACGGTCTGTAATATCTGCAAAACACTATTGATATCCGGACAATGACTGTCTCACAATCTTGAGATGAAATTTTAGAGCCTGACGGTCTGTAATTTCTGCATGGATTTTCTCATCTGAACCGCTGCCACCATTTATTATAGCCCATTCGAATATCCTGTCTGCTTCTGAAATTCTTTGGGCTGCTCCATGTTGAAAATTTATCATCCTAACCATAGATAGTAAATTAGTTTCTTTTAGTACTCAGAACTGTTACAGAGTTTTCAGAAATAAGGATGTTAACTATTCTTTCACTGGAGTAGAATTGATTTCTTAATCTCCAGCCAATATGTCGACCACAGTAGATTATAATTTTAATAGTCTGTGGGTTAATAAGTGTTTCACGTCTTTAAAGAACGTCTGCTGAAAATTTACATAGCACACTCTCTTGTATAAGCTTAATATTTATGCCAAATTCTAACGAAACTTCATTCGAAAGAATCAAAACGAAATATTTTTTAGATAAAACCTCCTTGTCCGATGCAAAACAATGTCATAAACTAGCATATTTTATGTATGTTAGCTTTACTAGCTGTCTTCATTTGTAGTCTAAATAGTGTCCGATGACTTTTGTTGTGATTTCCCTGCCCTATAGAAAAGAATTTACTTCTTTTAATCTGAAAGTTTTACTTAAAAAAAAAAAAAAAAAAAATTTGAGCGCAAAAAAAATACTAGATAAAGGCATCCTTCAAAGATTGGTTGGTTTATGTGACAACGGTAAAACCTCGAGAGCTATCTGCCTAAGGTGATATATGCCTTCGTGGAGGGATTTCTAAGAAAAGCTGACTCGTATATATGTTACACATGGGGAAAACCACGAAAGCACCCATGCAGCCAGCACTTATTCGAACCTCGGACCGAACTACCAGTGTTCACCGATTTTACCGCTCGGCCGCTGGTTGGCGCATTCTTTGCAATCACAGTTTTATATATTTAAAAACTTTGAAATTCATTTCAAAAAGTAAAATTTCCAGTTCCTTTTGTGAAGTACTGTAGTTCTTTAGTATTTTTTTAGCTTGGGTGCATTTTTATAATTAGATGATTAGGACCGAGAAAAAATTTTACATTTTCACTCATTTGATTACTAATATAATAAATATACGAAAATAAATTATCTATTTTATACGCTTAGTATGTGTGAGTGTTGTAAAATTTTATTTATATATTAACTATTAATAAAATTCTGAAGTACTGTTAATTGTCCCCAGTTACCATATTTCAAATTTTTCTCTTGCACTTTCCATTCATGTTTAAAATAAAATTTTAAAAAAAGCCAATACAGAATTTTGCTTTTTAAAACCAGTTGTTCTTGAATTTTCTTGCACTGAATTACCGCAAACCTTATAAATCCATGTACTGACAAGCATAACCATACATTTTAAAATTGATGTAAACATTTTAAAGTAGGTGCTAATATTACTTAATACAAGACTTAAATTCTGTATGCGATAAATAAAATAAACGAAAATTTTAAGTTACAAAAAAAAAAAAAAAAAAAAAAAAAAAATTAACACAAATGCATTTCTGAATTTTCATTACAAAAATTTGGTTGATCCAATGTTCCATAGTGAAACTGTAAGATTTTACACTTTTAAATAATGAAGATATTCTTTACAGTGTACAAAAATATTATTTACATTACAGATTTTCACAGATTTTTTTATGCTTAAAATATGTTAAATTCTGTTATATGCGATATATATAATAGTCAGGTTCTGAGATATGCGAGGTTCACAATCAAACAAAAGGTTACAGTTACTGAACATAGATAATTTACTCCAGAATTCGTTCATTCTGGAATTCCGTTGGCGACTAAACATGCTGATCGTAGCAGATTTAGCATTTTATGCAACTTGAATGCCGAACGTTTTCCTTAAAACAAGCTCTCAGAACGCATTCCTCTTAACTCTTTGAAGGGCGGTGGTTACTTGCAGTAACCACCTTTTCTACTGAACGTCTTACTGACTCGTGTGAGTGGTTTTCAAGACTGACCATTTCTGAAGTTCCCTTGTAGCTCACTAGAGCTCATTACTCCCTTGTAGCATATTCCAATCAAGAAACATAAGCATAGTTGATGCAGCAATTCATCTTCAAGAAAATAAGCATCAGCCATCCAAGACAACATCACGAAGATGTGCACTCTGCAGCATCAAGAAAACGCCTGTAAGAACAGTGTGGGAATGCAGCACATGCAAAGTTGCACTCTGCTTGAAAAAGAAAAAATGTTTCTATAAGTACCATAGAGACTGATTTGTAGGGATGTGTTTTGTGGGCCGTGGTCACTGACATTAACCACTAGAAATGGTCATTTTTTATCACGCGTCTTGGACAAAATATGTGTAATTGCCTCAAAAACCTGATATAGTAAATAAAACAAGAGTTTTGATGAAAAAGTTAATTGCCTTTTCCTGCCCCTCAATGAGTTAAAGCAAATAGTACCCAGCAACTGCCGAGGAGTAAAGTTGCTGAACATTGGTAGTTCGACTAGGGTTCGAATTCCTTGGTAAGAGCTGCATGGGCATTTTCGTGGTTTTCCCAGGTGTATCTTAGATACGGGCCATATTCGTTTAGAAAGTCCTCCCCGAAGACATCCCTTCCCATATTCAGATGACTATCGTGTGCTTTGCCATAATCAAATAAGCCTAAATCTAAACCTGATAACTATCAAGTTCTTTGCTGTAGCAAACAACTAATTAAATAAGAAAATTTAAAGTCTGCCCCGCTAAAGTCTTGCACTTGGGTTACAAAAAATAAAGAAAGAAAGAACTAAAAATAATAAATAATAAAAGGGTCACTAATCCAAAAAGAACTAAAAATATAAAAAGGTCGCTAGGTCAAAAAGAACTGTAATGAAATTTGCCCTTTGTTTAAAAGGACAGGAAGTGAATCGACATCATTACATCAGATTTGGCAAATCAAACATTGTTAAAATCAAATTTGCGAAATCTGACTTGCAAATACACGCGGAATTCAGCGACATTTTAAAAGACTATATGGTAATCAGCTTTCATTGCTATATCGACATATATTCGATTAGAGCAGCTTCATATATTTTAAACAAGAAAATGTCATTTTGTAGAACTTTGTAAAGTGTACGTGATATAGGAAATATGAAATAACTTGCGTATGACCGCCTCGAAATTCCTTTTGCAATAAAATATTAGCTTATCTGTGTTCAATTTGACTTGAATATACTTACATAATATTCTAATTAAATAACTGTTTCATAGAATGCAATCATTCGTAGCATGACATAAAAACAATTCATACTGAAATTCAGGCTAGGCTATTACATCATTTATTTTTTGGGGTTTTTGTAAAACGTAAGTTAAATCAAACTGATACTATATTACTTAGTTTTGTGATTTCAGTAAAGCATGTTATTCCAAATGGCTGGACACTTACAATTAAGTGCGTTCATTGGGAATGGCCAACATCCATCGGTCATTTGGCAGTTTCATCATCGTTTAGCCATCTCTTTAGTTTTGCCCAGGGCGTACCACAGGAAGCAAACGCATTGCACCCCTGTGAAAGGGAAAGCTTTTTCCCAGTTTTCATGGAAAACTCCTGTGGGCCGGATCCAAGAGTTTTCCCTCCCAGTTCCCATGGTACCAAACCTGGAATTTCGGATCGCAATACTTTGAGTGCCCTCACGCTAGGCACACGCTATATACTTATAAACATCCATCTCCGGGATTCGAGCCTGGACTCAACGATACGGTAGCCAGCATTGCTAACCACTATTTCAATGACAGTGACACAAACTAGAATCAAACTAATAGTTTATCATTTATATTTAATTATTAGATTATTTAGCTCTTGACAAAACAGAAGAGAGCTATCTGCAGGAATACTTTCGTTTCCTAAGGAAACTTCACACATGGCGAAAATCAGGAAACTCCCAAACAGTCGAGATTACGTCGAGATTTTAACCCAGGTCAAAAAGCTGCTTTACTGCTCGGCCGCTTGTGAGCATTTATAATTTTGGTAAACCATCAATTATGTTATACCAGTATTCATTCCGTTTTTGTGATTTTAATAAAATGCAAGTTATGAAAATTAACATTTGCTTTCTTGTCAGTAGGGGATGATGTGGAAGATTTCACAGAAGAGAGCGCCGAAGATACTATCCTCTGCGGCAGGAATAACACGAAAGAAAATGATCCCATAGATGCAGATGGTAAGTCCTTTTCCCTCAGAAAGTTCAAATTCGTGCTGTGTTAAACATTTTGAACTTAAGCATACTGTTGCCTCTGTAGCTTCATGAAATATTTCATTGGATTCTCGTCAGCTGTTTTAAAACATAAAGAATTATTTCAGTTATTAAAGGTGAATTTAATAAAAAGATACGGAATGTAATTCACTGTGAGGCTGAGTGAAACTAACCCGTTACATAGTTGTTAGACTTGACGGAACTTGAAGTAAATATCATGATAATTTTAAATAAATGCATTTTGGTTTTGTCTGATTTAATTTATTTTATTCAATAATTTCGATTAAAATCGGGTTTTTAAATTTACTATTTTTATTCTCCTTTCGTAAAAATTAGGGATGATAAATGAAATTTTGTAGTAAGAAATATGCTTATCTCATTTTCTTATTATGTTCCTTAAGACTAAGTACCCGTTGCTTAAAAGTTATTAAAAAAAGAAGGAAAAAAGGAAGAAAAAGTAAACTTATAACATTATTCATCAGAAATCTTGACGGATTTCATCTGAAATTGGAAATTTTTTATCAAAATTATAAAAGAGCTTAAACCTGAAACTAGCAAACATTAATCTAGCAAGCTATTTTCTGTTATTTACGAATGTGCAACTTAAAAAGAAAGTATATTTATATAAATTCTAGGGATGAGTGGGAGCTAAAATCAAAAACTTTATTACTGTTATAAAATTTATCACAAACAACTGATGTCGTAAAAATTGAGAATAGACCAAAAAATCTACAAATTTAACACTTAAAATGCAAGAATTTTGTCGCTTTATTTAAAACATTTTTTAAAACGGCTGAAAAATATTTTCTAGAATTCTGAGTTTAACTTTCCTTATCTGGGTATAAAAACATTTATATTAAATGCTTTCGCATCAATATAACTGATTATTTGAACTCAAATATTGGTATCAACATTTATCTCAAATAACATTTGTTCATTTTCTGAATACCACAGAGCAACATATATATCGCCAACAGATGTATATGAAGTTGATATAGTAATAAATTTCTGTGACTCAAAGTGCCGCTTGAGGCAATCCAGCAGTATTACTGTATATTAAGATAAAATATTTGTTGTTGCTCAGTATTTTCCAGCAGAAGTAATCTTGTATGATACAGTAGAATTTTTGGAATTGTTCGTAAAACCAACCATGGTTTGATAGATTATGTCAAAGCACACTAGGGCTATCAGCCTAAGAGGAGGATACCTTTCTAAGGGAAACTAACTCGTATACGTGTTACAGACTATAATTGTAAGAAATAATACTGATAACGCTTTTCAGTAATTATTCAATAAATGAATTTTCTTTCGAGTCTGGGTAATTAATGACAATACAGACAAATATTTCTAAAAATCATTACATTATTAAGAGCATAAATCTTAAAGAAATGGAAATCAACATAAATGACACAAGAACTTAATTTAGCTGCAGATATGACCTTGATAGTAAAATCAAAGCATTAAAGAAAAGTACCTACTGCAGTAAGATCTGAAGACGTGAGCGACAGAATGTCACTAAACAGAGAAAATTTTCTCGAGGAACGCAAAAGACATTTTAATGGAGGTATCTGAAAAATCAAATTCGCTTTTTACGCGACATTAACAACCGTAAAATATAGTTCATCTGGAGATTACTAATGCTACTTAGGATACTATATGGCAAGTGAACACCAGTGCAGCCAGCTGCAGATGAACACCAGCCAGTTTCTCTTTAAAATCCTCCACGAAGGTTATCCCTCCTCTTAGACAAATAGCCCTCGTGTGCTTTGCTATCATTAATTTATTCGTTCGCTCCTCGTTAATTTGATTATGGCAAAATCAAATTAACCAAACCCAAGAGAAGAGATAAGCACTTCTGGAAGTCCGAAGAAAAATCACTCCTGGGGACTCTAAAATGAGTTTCTTGAAAACTTCCAGTATGTCGCCAAGTTGATGGGCCATCGTCAAACGTTGTCAAGGCGCGTTAGAAAGGTTTCTGATAACATCTTTTGTTCTTCTCAAACTATACAATTCAAATATCAGATGACTCATAATCACAAGGTCTGCAAAATACTACACGAAATAAATACGTACAAAACTTATTTAGGGACTTACGTATTAACAAAACCACCTTGGCGCATTTCGGCAATTTTTTACAAATGATAATTTAAAAATTACTTACCGGGCGCAAGCTGATGGTTTTCGCTAATGGTTTCAGAATGATTTCCAAATTATCGATATTTATGATAAGTCGACATACAGTATCAACATATGAAAAGAAAACCTATTTTAACAATTTAAAATACCAACTTTAAATATTAAATAAGGATTACGTTATATATTAAATAAAACACATTCTTTACCAAATCTTTATTTAATTTTTTTGCGTTGTTTTCCTCCTCCAGTACACAGTGGTCAGTTTTCGCTTTAAAAAAATCAAAGAACTGAAGACTCGGCATCGAGAAAACCTCAGCATCGCCGGTTATTTAACAAGCGCATCTCCTTATCGATCTCTTTAGGCATTTTTCTGTAAAATTCAGCATTCCTGCAGAACGTTTATTGTAGTTTCTTCCATTTCTGAGATCTTTCACAAGCGCATATTTTAAAATTAAGTTTAAGGCAAAACATATCACAATTGTTTATAAAAACTATTGAAACTTGGAATATAATAAATAGAACAGCTACGAAAATAGTAATGTTTCTTAACTAAAGGATTGTTAGGAGCATGGCTGCTTGAAGAATGGTTATGCGCAACGTTGCTAGAGTATGGCACATCCTGAAAAATTTGGTGACTTCTACTAAGGTGGTTGCGATAACACGTAAGTACCCACTTTTAAGTTCCTTCATATTCAATTAAAATATATAATTGAAACTGTCCCATAAAATGCCCAAAAGAAATTAATAAAAACAATGCATATTACTACAAAAATTTGTTGGCAAAATTTTAACATAGTTGTTTACAAACATTTAAAACTTCGCGATTAATCCTAAGAGCTTTATAATACACTATTAATATACTGGATATGTATATCTTCATCATAATTATTTGCTTTCATTTATTTCCTTTCCTGAACATATAATTCTTTGCAAAACGAAAACATCTTTCACTGTTAAAATATCATATGCAAAAAAACTGAATGCAACGCTATTTTAGTATGAGCATTCAAAATAAAGAAAGAAAGAAAGAAAAGAAATATTACAAATTTTACAAAATTTTTAGTTCTTAAACCATTTCATTAATGAGGTCGAACACCTTCTGGGCTGAACTTTTCGCACTTGGCCATGGACCTTCGACGATAACCATCTCCTCAAAACCCACGATTCTTAAATTAATCATACAGAAATATTTCCCCTTTCGGTTTCAGCAAACAGTTGGTATAGACCAGAAATATTCTGGTGCACATGCAACGGCTTTATTGCTACACGACTCTGCGTTAAGAAAATTTGAAGAAATTTTATGGATTTTTAATTTTTAATGCTTTTCAACTTTTAATTTAAATCATTATTCTATTTCACTTTGAGGAAACCTTGAATTTATATATATGTAAGAAAAGTAAAGAAGCAACGTAAATTTCCCTTCTCTATTCTAAAAATAGTAATCACTTCTGCACTGCGTCATTTCGAGAAAAATCTATGTCATATGACTCTTACGTAATTCTGGTGATGTAAACGGAACTAAAACTCTTAACAGCCAATAATAATTTTACAACAATATTAACCATCCAATCAGAATGCTTTGAGAACCAAAACTAACTCAGTCTGACTTGAAATTTCATCCTGAACATTACGTGCTTTCTTTCCACGCATTGGCCTAGCTACACTGCTGTCTGTCTGCTCTGCTTTCTTGCTACAAAATTATCAAAAATGTAAGCCTTTTGGAACAGGCACATTTAATGTGCCGACTTGTGCGTAGCCGCAACATGTTGCCGAAAATAAAAGTGAAGATTTAATCTGTCCTCGCCTCCAATTTCCTGTTCATTGCCTCTTACTTCCTATCCTGAATATACTACATATACAGTTAGTCACAAAAGTCTGCGTACAGACTAAATTTTAAATTAAAAAAAACACTTAAAGCATAGAAAAATGTATTTAAATAATTGCATTTTTTTCTTCTATTAGCTAAAACTGTAAGCTTAAATAAAAAGTAAATAATATCAGTGTAATACTTTTTAAATTTTTTCAAAAATATATTTTGTCAAAAAAAACTCAGAAATAATTCCCTCCAATAAGTCTGCGTACGCTTTCAAAAAAAAAAGCAAAATAAAGTTTTTTAGATTACTTGAATACTTTGTAGGATATCCTTTATTCTTCAAAACAGCTTGCAGACGTCTGGGCATTGACTGAACTAGTTTTTCAGTGTCATCCGACGTAAATTTCGCCCATTCTTCCTGCAATTTACTAATTAGCTCATTTCGCGACGTAATATTATGTTTTCGAATTCGTTTCTTCAATTTTACCGACAAATGTTCGATTGGACTGAGGTCTGGTAACTGTGGTACGCAACTGTCTTGGAATGTGATAGAGGAGATATTCCTTCACAATTTTAGCTGTATGTTTCGGGTTGATTTCTTGTTGGAAAATAAAGGTATTAGAAAGGTTTAAATTTCGGGCACTGTCTCGTATATTTTTCTTCAGAATATCCAGATAAACATACTTATCCATGACTTTAACAATAACGGGAAAATTTCCAACTCCTTTCGACGACATACACCCCATACCACCACACCGTCAGCTTCATGTTTGACAGTTGGATTTAAATTTCTCAGATTCAGTTCTGTTCCTGGTTTTCTCCATACAATAGGGTGGCCATTAACTTTAAATGTTGTAAATTTACTTTCATCTGACCAAATTAGATTGTTCCAGAAGTCCTGAGAAGAGTTTAAATATGTTTTGGCAAAAGCAGTTCTTTTCTTTCTATTTGCCTCGGAAATGTATGGCTTAGACCTAGGTTTGCATCCATGATAATCGGCCTTTCGAGAACTTTTCGT